GCCTATCGTAAATATAATAAACGCATCCATACAATGTGGCTATGTCCCACAAGCTTTTAAAACCGCGGTAATCAAACCCCTTCTGAAGAAAACAAACCTGGACCCAGAAATACTTACAAACTACAGACCGATCTCGAACCTCACTTTTATATCTAAAATCCTGGAAAAACTTATAGCTGAGCAGCTCCGCTGCCACCTGCAGGAAAATGATATGTTTGAAGTCTTTCAATCAGGATTCAGAGCTCATCATAGCACTGAAACGGCACTAGTCAAAGTCACAAATGACTTACTACTAGCTGCCGATAATGGACAAGTGTCAGTGCTGGTCCTACTGGACCTTAGTGCTGCATTTGACACAATAGACCACAGCATTCTACTGCAGAGGCTAGAATGTGATATAGGTCTTAGAGGAACAGCCCTTGGCTGGTTTAAATCCTATTTATCAGATCGATATCACTTCGTCAATGTGAATCAGGACTCGTCGCCTTATTCTGGAGTGGAATTCGGTGTGCCGCAGGGTTCGGTACTCGGACCGATTCTTTTTACTCTCTACATGCTGCCACTGGGAAACATTATTAAAAAGCATGGAATTAATTTCCACTGCTATGCAGATGACACACAGCTTTATCTGTCGATGAAGCCTAATCAGACAGATCAGCTAGAAAAGCTCAGTGCCTGCATAAAGGACCTTAAAATGTGGATGACTCTTAACTTCCTACTTCTCAACCCGGAGAAGACAGAAGTGATCCTACTCGGTCCGAAGCGCCTGCGTGACTCCCTCACTAACCAGATGGTTACTCTCGATAATGTCAGTATAATACCCAGTAACACTGTGAGGAATCTTGGAGTCATTTTTGACCAAGAACTCTCCTTCAAGGCTTATATAAGCCAAGCAACTAAAACGGCGTACTTCCACTTACGGAACATCGCTAAAATTAGGAATTTCCTTCCTAAAAGTGACGCGGAAAAACTCATTCACGCGTTTGTCACCTCAAGGCTCGACTACTGTAACGCTTTACTGGCAGCGTGCCCTAAAGCCTCTTTGAAGAGCTTCCAGCTCGTTCAGAATACAGCAGCTAGGATCTTAACAGGTACCAAAAGGAGGGAGCACATAACTCCGGTGTTAAAATCACTCCACTGGCTCCCTGTGGAGTACAGAATAAAGTTTAAAATCCTACTCTTAACATATAAAGCCATAAATGGCTTGGCTCCTTCTTATCTCCAAGACACGTTAGTGTCGTATCAACCAAGTCGAGCGTTGCGCTCACAAAACGCCAGACGTCTGGTGGTCCCTAAGGTCTCAAAGGTCACTGTTGGTGGCAGAGCATTTAGCTACCAAGCTCCTTTACTGTGGAATCAGCTTCCCATTTATGTTAAGGAAGCAGATACGGTCTCCACATTCAAGGCCAGGCTTAAAGCACTTTACTTTAATTTAGCATATAATTAGGTAATATATAATATGTAGTGTATATATTATATATATATGCTGTATTATGTTATATATTATGTTATATATTATTCAATAATGTATTGTGTTATGTTGTATATTATGTTATATATTATGCTGTATGTTATTCTTTATTCAAGGCTAGGTTTAAAACAGTCCTCTTTAGTTTAGCATATGGCTAGGAAGGTAAGACTCGGAGAAGGTTAAACTCCTCAGAGTGTTAGTCAAGCTGCATAGGGAGTCAGTTTGCTGGGAGAAGTATGGTAACTTGAGCACTATCCTCTCCTCCTTCCTACTTTATCTGTTTAGCATTTTTAGGATTCTGACTGTAGTTTGTTCATTGCTATTCACCCGTTGTCCCATTGTCTGTTTCATGGTACGATGACGGGATCTCTGAGCCTGGCCTCTTCCATCTACACCTGCGGACTGCCCCGCCCGACCCGCCTGGGAGTGCTTCGGTCCTGCACCGGACCTGTCCACGTTCAGCGTCCACTGGTCCACGTTCTGTAGCTAGCTTAGGTCCTAGATCATTAGTCTGTCCGTCCGGAGGAGCGGATCCCTTTCTCATATGGGTCTCCCTCCCTGTGGGTTTCCCTAGTTCTCCTCCAAGGTTTCTCACTTTTTCCCACTGGGTTTTTTAAGAGTTTTTCCTTGTCGATGCAGGAGGGTCTTGTTGGACAGTTAGTGTCCAACAGAAAGGATTGGTGATGATCAGGACACTTTAGCATTCTACAACATGTATGGACATTTTCTTCTGTGTGTGCTTTATACTGTATTCTTCATGTGTTTTAACTGTTGATTCTCTGACCTGTGTTGGTGATTTCAATGGTTTTGTTAAGTCCTCTGAGATGACTTCTGTTGTGACCTAGGGCTATACAAGAATAAATTGTATTGTATTGTGTATTGTATTGTATGTGCTTGTGTGTGCGTGTGTGTGTGTGTGTGTGTGTGTGTTTCACACGTGGAGGCGGCAGACCGAGGTGTTGCCTGGGCCACAGGAGACTGTCCTGCCATGAAGTGGTGACAGGGCAGAACATTGTGAAGTTATTCCCTGCTGAGGAGCGGGAGATGCCTCCTCTGCTGACGTAGGGTTTAGGGTGATATGTGTTGTGAGTTAACCTATACATAAATTCTAATGTTATTTGAGTTTAAGGTGTATTTGTGGTTATTTGAAGGATCAGTATGTAAAATTACTCATATCAGTCTTAACCTATATTTGACATTCAGGTAATCACCTCTTTTGCAGTATTTTAAAACTGTAATCACTGTACCTGTCATGTCATGTCATGTCATTGTCTTCCCCTTTATTGATCCATTTCTGGGTCGGGGGGGTGGCAATCAGAGCTGCTACCCAAGTCTCATTGCACCAGTCCCTCGCTGATCCTCCTGCAGGTGGTGGGTCCACGGGAAGATGGCTTCTCCGTCATTGAAAACATTGGCCTTGATCTTTCAGCGGGGGCTCACTGTACTCAATATTGAAATTATCCATGTATAATGTATAAAGCTGCTTTGGCAACAGAGATTGACCAATAAATTGGAAGGATCTACATATTGAAATATCTTCCATTGGTCTTAAATCTTAAAAAGAGTTATCTCTTTTGAAAGCACATTTTTAACAACAACATAGTTTATGTATGTAAAAACAATGACCCCAAAACAATTGGTAAATCATCCAAAAAAACAAAACAAAATCTGTAAATCGGTCGACAATACAATAACATTATTTACTTTGTGTCCAGATTCAATCCAAATATTACTGTTCATCCATTTTGTTCAACAAAACATACAAGACTATCCTGACCAGTATTCAAGAAAACGTATTGTTCAAAATACCTCCATAATGAAAACCATTTAATACTCAAAATGGTGAATAATAAGTCATCTAAGTATGTCCTAATTACAGTACCATGGCGTAATAGCATTCATTAGCCGTCAGAGGCTGGATTTACATGATTTGACAATATTTTTTCAGTGTTGCCTCGTTATAAATGTACTCGAGTGCTGGGAAAAATCCGCTGACTCTGTTTGCATTTGATTGTAGACTTTAAAGTTTTACTCATAGACTGTAAATATTGACATAGTGACAGCTATCTCCATCGTTGAAATTTATGTGTGATTACTTTCCCCTCCTGCCGACCTTTTCAAAATGGTCGCGAGCAGCGTCTCCAGCAGAATTTTTTAATAAAACACTTATGGAGAGGAGTTGGTGGTATGTGCGCATGCGTTAGTTGACATGAGCCTGACACATGCCGTTTATTTAACGCTTTTATTTAACGCGTTTATTTAACGCGTTTATTTAACGCGTTTATTTAACGCGTTCATTCAAAGCGGCTAATACTCCCCTCAGCATTGACCACATCTGGAAAATAGTGCTGAGCCAAGAGCCGAGTTTTGGACCAGGCTGTAAAGCCGTTTTCCAGGGGAAAAAAGGTGCGTGCTCACGTGCTCATGGACACTTTTGATCCAGGACCAGCCCCCACTGGTTTTACAAGACCTTTCATCTCTAAACAATAAATACTACAATGATTAGATGGGTTTGGATTTAGATGTGGCCACTTCTTTTTGAGATGCACTGAAACAATTTTCAAAGTTATGACGTGTAGTTGTTGTAGCAGCGGAATTTTATAGCAGTTGTGAACAGGTTTTGTTTCAAAACTACTGGCTCAGAAAAAACTTGTTTTCCCCTGATTCATTAAAACTGATTAATTAGACTTTCATTGTAATACATTTTTATCTACTCAAATGAAGTCGATAGTTGGAGGATTTCAACGGCCCAGCGCAGTTTGTTTGGCTGTGTGTCGGTTGGGAATTGTCTCGGCTGCAGCTGTACTCTGGCAGGTTAGAGAGCTTTCCCTTCAGAAATCAGCTGCTCTCTCGACTGTTAAATCACACTCCAAACCGGTCGTTGAGGAGAAAATTAATTACTTTGCCTTCTCCGTCTCCTGCATTATTGCCCCCCCTCATTCTTCTGCAGTTTCTTTTGAACCTGTTTCTGTTTATAACATTTAAATTCAAATGCCTTTTTGGCCATTTTGAGTTGTTAAAGGGTTAGGGTTAATATAAAGGTCAGCATTGGAAATATGAACTACAGGTCAAGAGTGCCTACAATCAGCAGATCTGCAATCAGCCGATGTCAAGTATCTCAGTCTCAATCAGGAGTACAATCCTCTCACTCAGTTGGCCTATTTTGAGGCCCTGGCTTTTTGTGTGCAACATATACCTGTATACTATACGTGTTCCAGATAGATTGTCGAGCTTGGTGTAAAATTGTGATACATAAATCTCTCTTGGGTTGTACATGGGTCTTGTCATGATGATGTACACCTAGTTCTCACAGAGTTCACTACACTTTTCTTAAACTATTCTTATACATGTTGATTGGATTTCATGTTAAAAGCTTGTACGTAAAAGAACTGACGAGTCTTTTATACACTTTTTTTGATCAACTTTTCAATTAGCTGTATTCATATAGTCCATCTGTTATTTTTGTTCTCTGTCCAAGTGTGTGTTCCATAACAAAACTTGGTTACTTACCAGGCTGTTTCCTTTTCAGTTCCAGATTGAAGATGTGGAGAATGAGGACAAAAGATACTCCCTTTTCCTGGAGCTGCTTGGATCAGCGAAAAAGTGGGAGGATTTCCAGCTCATCATGCTTCTGCTGCAAGCCTGGCCCCCCATGATCAAAGACGACATGTAAGACCATTACTCTGTTCTTCCACCTTTGTTCCTTTGTTTTGGAGCAGAAGGGGCGACTATTTGTTCCCTTGACTGTGTTTACTCTTCATTAACGCCTGCCACAAAAAAGAACCCAGGAGTAAAGTCATAACTATCTTCCGTTCACAGCGGTGGCTTCGTTAACAAAAGGGTTACATTTACATTTTAATGAAAACTTTGGTGCTTTGTGCTTTCGTCTTGCAAAGGTTAGGCTTGAACTATCTAATCGCGGTGGGGCACATGTTGCACAGAGCTTTTGAAAAGTTGGAGAAAGGATTCTTCACCACAGGCAAGAGGCTAGGGGCTTCCGACAGCAGCTGTGGGCATTTGGAGCTGCCTGGATTATCGATAAGTGCCTAATGGTGTGATTGCTCCTCTGCTGCTCCATTGTTCTCCATTAAAAGTGTGCGTCACTCTAGGGAGCTGGAAGGCGCTGTGCTATCAGGAGTTAATCCTTCCAGCTCAATCAAACCATGCAGCGATCAGGCAGTTTCGATAAGCAATCTAAAGTGTTTGTCTCTAGGAGAATAGGAAAGCAAGGGATGTACATGTTTCTACACACTCTGGCTCAGCTCTAAGCATACTTTATGGGGTAGGGAAAGAAATCTTTTAAAGTCCAGAAAGTTTTGGGGTTAGGGTTATAATCTATACTGTCCATCAAGTATGTTGTGGAGGCTATAGGGTCGTAAATAATGACACTTAGATGGGATCTTATGCAGAAATGCCAGTGAGCCTTTATCTCAGTTTCCAGTTTTTTCAGTTGTTTTAAATTCTTTCAGACAGAATCAAGATAACTGAGATAGACTTAATTGATCTCACTCTGGAGAAATTTACGTGTCACATCTGGCATGGATAGAATCACTCAGATAGTGCAAAAGACAGAAGTGTGCAACATGTTAAGCTTAAAAAATCTAGTCTTTGCAGCATATAATTATGTGGCAATAAAAGAAAGAGTGGCAATAACAGTGACAGAGAAAGCATTTTATATGACAATTTGCATCACAACAAAGACGCCAATCCACAGGTGTTCACTAGTCCAAACAACAGACATGACTGAAGTCGCCTTGACCTTAAAGGTCGGATCACTTGAATATTATGTCTTGCTTTTGTCCATTTTGTGAAAGCCAGATTCAACAGGTACTCCAATCCACCTTCTACCACTCATCAAGAACTTGTCACTGCTACTGAAACAACCAAAGCTGTACCTTTCACGGGCTTTACATGTGCCCTAGCGACAAAATCGGTCGACAAGTGACATTCCGCTCCATTTGTACACTGCCTCACAGTCAGCAGTGCTTTTGTCTCCGAAGTCTGAATGCAGCAGCAGGAGAGTCAACTGGTTCAAGTTCACTGTGGGATCCTGCCACTGCTCCACTGACTGAGAGCGCAGCTGTGGCTTCCTCTCTTCACAACGGGAACCACAGAAAATTATTCCTCTAGCTGACTCTTTTCTTGGGCTGTATCATACTGTACTTTGAAAAGAAGAATTAAAACCCTCAAGATTTGGAACACTTGTGCGATAAAGTATGCAGTGTAGAGAAAAATCAGGTCCAGGCACTCATCATTTGCAAAAGTAGATGGCTTTATTTATGGGCCAGAAACATTAAAAAGCACACCAACGCGTGTCGGCTTGCGCCTTCGTCAGGGTGTGTGTAGAGACAAACAGTAAACCAATTTATAATGTCTGACTGCAGGTGTGCAGCCAGGACATTGAGACACATGCTGTCATAGTCCTTTTGGACACAAGTGGGAGACATTTCGTCTTCACAGTATGAAGTGTGTTTAATTTGGCTTAAAGCTGGAGTACCCATTGAGACCACAAAAAATAACTTCATGTTATGCAAATTTGACATTTTAAGGCTTTGCAACTTTTTTTTTTTTATAAATCTATCCACATTAATTATAATTTATGTGGATTATTTAAACAACTGAGGGTCTCAGTCCTGTTGTCCTGAAGTGCTATAAAAGTATGATGTATTTGTTCTCCCATGACATCACGCTCAGAAATTAGTTTTGGCAATTTCTCATGTGAAATTACATTTACATGGTTGTGTTTGCAGCCAGTCATTTTCTAATTTGACAAAAAAATATATATATATATATATCTGGTGGTAGCATAGAGTTAAAGATGCAAATAATGCTTTACCCTTCACACTGTTTATACTCAATTTAAGATGTTATTTCACATTCTAAAATAGGAATTGACGAAGGGAATATTCTCGATATAATGTTGTGCTGCATTTAATTATAATGCATAATTTTTGGGTAACGCTTTATATTAAGGTGTGCTTGTTAAATATTAATAAGGTATTAATAAACATTAGCAACATGCTTATAGATTGCTTATATGTACTTATAAACATATAAATAAGCTGCTCATTTCACTATTCTCTAAATGATGTTGTTCTAGTTATGTGCTTTTAAGCATTTAATAAGTAATTAGTAAGATACTTATTAAAGGAGGAATATGTTTATAAATATATGAATAAGCTGCTTATTAAACTATTATCGATACCATGTTAATAGGCCACTAACAATATGCCTATAAAGATATTAATACGCTGCTTATTAATAGGCAATAGTGGTAATAGGCCACTAAAAATATGCGTTAATAAACTGCTTATTACATTATTTTGCAGTACCCTAATCTAAAGCGAGGAGCATTTTTGTTAATGTAGAAAAAACACAACAATGATCTAAGATGTTTTTATTTATTCAAACAGCAACAATTAAAATCTAAATGAAAAAAAATATCCAAATTAAGTTTGTGCCAAAAGTTTGTTAGTAACTTCAAGGAGCCATGATGAACCCACTCATGCTCCGACCTGCTCTGTTCATGAATTTGGCTTTGGCAAAACAGTGAATCAACTGACTTCACGAGCCTTAGAGATTAGCGGAACTCACCTATTTTTGGGCATCGTCTGGTCCTCCCGGTTCTGCGCAGTGGACGAGCTCCCATGATGCTTTGCACCAAATACGCTTGCGTGGCTGTCATGCACGTGCACAGAGGGGCCGTGCTCTGACCAATCAGAGCTGCTGATCAGAGCGAGAGTTAGAGCGGGAGTTAGAGCGGGAGCCAGACGAGTAGAGTTTGTGGCCGTAAAATGTGGATTTAAAGGACAACTCACCCTCAAATCCACTTTTTTTTTTTTGCTGATAAACAGTATAAATGAGTGTCCAACATTGTTGTCTACATATCCTGGTCATAATTTTGTCACTTTGGTGCAAATTAGTTGAAAGTTAAACTTTCTGCCTAAAACCATCTGTGAGGCGCCATCTGCTGGCGACCTGTATTACTACATTTGAATTTTGAATCTGGCGCCTGAGACCTGACGTCAGCAGCCCCCCGCCCAGAGCTATATACACGGCCCAGTCTCGTTCACGCCCCCTTTAGTCCTCCAGGCTACGCCCATTTAGAGGAAGATTTGAACAGGAAATGTGAGTGACGTAAGCTCCGAGGAGCGGGGGTGAGAACCACTTTAAAGAAAACTGAAGGATTTAAGAAGAAAAAAAGTTCAGGATGACAAGGGACACTAAAATCCCCAGAAAATCCGAACTTTATGAAAGCTGTGGGTTCTCTGTCAGGTTCTCTGTCAGCTGAGGTCGAGCTGTTTTAATTTACATTGAGTTCTATGGGACTTTTTCTGGGTAGCCCACGTGAATTTAGTCTGCAGTACCACAGCGCCCCCTGTGCCCATGGGTGGGACAGCTATAAGCTAGGAATACACTATGCAGTTATTATTATAGTTCCATGGTTGTGCCACAGGTGCGTTGTAAACATGGATCTATTATAATAACTGGCTAGGGTATTACTAGCTTGTAGCTCGGGAGATTCTCGTGGTACTGCAAACTAAATTCACGTGGGCTACCCAGAAATTGTCCCCATAGAACTCAATGTAAACTAAAACAGCTCGACCTCAGCAGACAGAGAACCTACAGCTTTCATAAAGGTCGGATTTTGTGGGGATTTTAGTGTCCCTTGTCATCCTGAACTTTTTTTCTTCTTAAATCCTTCAGTTTTTTTTAAATCCACATTTTACTGCCACAAACTCTACTCGTCTGGCTCTTACTCCCGCTCTAACTCCCACTCTGATCAGCAGCTCTGATTGGTCAGAGCGCGGCCCCTATTTGCACGTGCATGACAGCCACGCACGCGTATTTGGCGCAAAGCATCATGGGAGCTTGTCAACTGCGCAGAACCGGTAGGACCAGACAATGCCCAAAAATAGGCGAGTTCCGCTAATAGGGGTGTGACAATACTTTCTCCCGCGATTCGATTATCGATATGCATTTGCCAAGTATCAATATCAATTTAAAAAAATAAAAATAAAAAAATGTTTTTCTTCTCTCCTTTTTTTTGTTTTTATTGGTATCAATACTTAATATATGGCTACATTACGCATCTCCATTCTATAGGGCACTGTCCGGTTTCCGAAATGTGCTAAAAATAGTTCCAATGACTGCGCATGCGCGCATGTTTCGGACAAACTCTGTCCGACTCCGTTGAGTACTACTGTGTTCTCCACATAAGCGTGTGTATTTATTTGGGCTAAATCATTGAATCATGGTGACAACAAAACACTGCAGTTATGGTGCTTGTGGGAGCGATTTCAGATACTCTGAAAAGGACTATATGAAAGCAGTAACATTCAACCTGTTCGTTAAACCACACCATCGAACCAGACCAGGACCAGACCAGGACCAGACCAGGACAAGTGCAAGAGGTGGGTGCTTGTGGTCAGCAGAATTTCTCTCATGAAAATGTTAAAAAGGACATGTTTTTTCAAAACACTTCGCTGGACCAACTGTGGAGCCTCCAGATCCAGTCCTAGCTACGTTTAGCTGGGACTGGACCTGGACCGCTGTATCAGGTCCGTCTGAGCTCTTCTGAATGTAGTTAGCCCCATCAATCCATATTAGTATTGTTTGTCCTAATCCAGAATGTATACAATTCTCACACCTGAAGAAAGATGAGAGGG